ACTATTGCAGTGAGAGGAGTATATTGCTAAGGTGCATACCTCGACTGTAGTTCAGGCTGCGGGGGTCCTAAGCGGTTCCTAACGTTCCCCCTTCTTTTTGGGGATCACTCTTTATCTCTTTTGGGAGATCTATCTCTCCTTGGAGATCTGTTTCTTTCCCTCTCTCTCCTGGGACTTCGATTCCTCTTTTTCTATTCCTTTCCTTTATCTCTATGTGCAAAAGAGCTCCCTACCTTAGAAAGAAGAGCTTCTTCGCCGTTTATATATTTCTCTGTTTTGGCAAGCACCTCGGTCATGCTTGCTTGGGGATTTTTTGATATGGAGAACATCAAATCTTTAGATTGCACCCCTAGACCAGCTATGAAGGCAGTGATGGCGAACTTTTCGTCTGGGACATCCACCTTTAACGACTTCAAATTAAATCTTTGGACATAAGACCTAAGATTTTCTTGAGGTCCCTGTTTCACATTCAAAAGATGATAGCTCGGCTTTCTGTAGGTCCGAGCCCCTATGAAGTGGGATACGAAGGAAATGGAAAGTTCTTTGAAGGAAGAAATTGAGGCCGGGGGGAGCCTGTTAAACCATGCCAAGGCTGAACCCTTCAAAGTGATGGCAAAGGCTCGACAACGTACGGGGTCCTGGTACCTGTGCAACTCCATCTGGTTCTTATAAGTATTGAGGTGGTCCATGGGGTCCCTGGTTCCATCAAAAGACTCTATCTCAGTCATCCTGAACTTTGGGGGAGGGGAAAATGCAACACCCCAGGCATGAATGGAGATTCAGTCTGCTACACCAAGGAGTCTATTGTAACTGGAGCTTTACTTTTGGCCGCTTGCTTCATGTGGCTGAGCTCCTGTTGGATTCCCTTGAAACGTTTCTTCCAATATTGTTCCCTTCTTTCCTGCTGATAAGGGAAGACATCATTTTTTTCACCTTCATGGTTTTGACTTTGTACTTCCTCATTGTGGTCATTCCTAGGGGGTAGTTGGGGAACCTGCCCCAAGGTCTAGCTGTTCTCTTCTCCTTCGTTGTCTTCTTTGAGTGGATCAAGGTGTTGTTGATCCTTGTGACGAGGACTGTTCTGACCTTCTTGGGTCGGATGTGCCTCCTGTGGGCGCTGTAAGAACTTCAAGAGCTCTTCGTTTTGCTTTATCAAGCGTTGATTGACGAGGCGAATNACTTCCTCATTGTGGTCATTCCTAGGGGGTAGTTGGGGAACCTGCCCCAAGGTCTAGTTGTTCTCTTCTCCTTCGTGGTCTTCTCTGAGTGGATCAAGGTGTTGTTGATCCCTGTGACGAGGACTGTTCTGACCTTCTTGGGCCGGATGTGCCTCCTGTGGGCGCTGTAAGAACTTCAAGAGCTCTTCGTTTTGCTTTATCAAGCGTTGATTGACGAGGCGAAGNAGCTATGAAGGCAGTGATGGCGAACTTTTCGTCTGGGACATCCACCTTTAACGACTTCAAATTAAATCTTTGGACATAAGACCTAAGATTTTCTTGAGGTCCCTGTTTCACATTCAAAAGATGATAGCTCGGCTTTCTGTAGGTCCGAGCCCCTATGAAGTGGGATACGAAGGAAATGGAAAGTTCTTTGAAGGAAGAAATTGAGGCCGGGGGGAGCCTGTTAAACCATGCCAAGGCTGAACCCTTCAAAGTGATGGCAAAGGCTCGACAACGTACGGGGTCCTGGTACCTGTGCAACTCCATCTGGTTCTTATAAGTATTGAGGTGGTCCATGGGGTCCCTGGTTCCATCAAAAGACTCTATCTCAGTCATCCTGAACTTTGGGGGAGGGGAAAATGCAACACCCCAGGCATGAATGGAGATTCAGTCTGCTACACCAAGGAGTCTATTGTAACTGGAGCTTTACTTTTGGCCGCTTGCTTCATGTGGCTGAGCTCCTGTTGGATTCCCTTGAAACGTTTCTTCCAATATTGTTCCCTTCTTTCCTGCTGATAAGGGAAGACATCATTTTTTTCACCTTCATGGTTTTGACTTTGTACTTCCTCATTGTGGTCATTCCTAGGGGGTAGTTGGGGAACCTGCCCCAAGGTCTAGCTGTTCTCTTCTCCTTCGTTGTCTTCTTTGAGTGGATCAAGGTGTTGTTGATCCTTGTGACGAGGACTGTTCTGACCTTCTTGGGTCGGATGTGCCTCCTGTGGGCGCTGTAAGAACTTCAAGAGCTCTTCGTTTTGCTTTATCAAGCGTTGATTGACGAGGCGAATAGCCTCCATCTTGTTATTCATGAGGGGATTTCTTATGGGAGGATCAATTTTTGGGACGTTCTCGGGCTGTCTGCCATTGGTGACTCTCTGTTGGTCCTACATCCGAGGTGAGTTTGTTGGCTTCTGCTCATGTTTCGTGTTGATACCATAAGTCACTAAGAGATCAGCTTATTTGCAATAGGAACAANGGACGTTCTCGGGCTGTCTGCCATTGGTGACTCTCTGTTGGTCCTACATCCGAGGTGGGTTTGTTTGGCTTCTGCTCATGTTTCGTGTTGATACCATAAGTCACTAAGAGATCAGCTTATTTGCAATAGGAACAATCGTTCCCACTAACGGCGGCAAACTGATGGTGCAAACTAACGTGGGTTAACAGAGCGCGTGGGACCAAAGATGAATCTAGGCTGCCAACTTCATAATGACAGAGATGAAGTGTTTCTTAAAGGGTAGGGGAATTTGCACAGTTAGAATATAGTGGTTTACCGGCTCTGGAGCTTGGCTAATCCACTCTCTAATGGAGACTTTTGCTCCTTTATTTTCTCTCTTGATTTCTCGAATGTATTACAATACAATGCATCATCTAATTATGATTTTTCTAAGGGGCCCCCCTCCTCTCGATGAGGCGTTACAAAGTATTTATAAGGCTACTCCATATTATCNGAGACTTTTGCTCCTTTATTTTCTCTCTTGATTTCTCGAATGTATTACAATACAATGTATCATCTAATTAGGATTTTTCTAAGGGGCCCCTCTCCTCTCGATGAGGCGTTACAAAGTATTTATAAGGCTACTCGATATTATGTGGGATTTCAGCCGAGATCTTTGCCAATTATTCATGAGATCCTCCTTGATTTTAGGAGATAATCTTAATTGGTTGAGAGTTTCATGCATTGGGCTCAATTTTCACAGTCATCCAACTGTTTTCTGGTTGGTTCTGTCACTATCTCCCCAAGGGGAGCTCTATCTCTGGTTCTCTGAGTTTCCCGCGTCTTTCCTGATCTATTGACCTGAGCTCACAGTTAGGGCTTGTTTGAGGTATCATCAGATTTCAACATTTTATGATCAATCATGCCCTTTGAAATTATAACTTACTCATCAAAAAAAATTATAACTTAAGATTAAAAAGTTGTAATTTTTGATACCGGTGGTACTGTAGAATTTCCCAGTTTGAAATGTCCAACACAGTTGGAGATGAGAATTTGAGATCAGAAAGGAAAACTCAATTCTATAGTAGCCAAAACTAAGCATCATGCATTACTCAAGTGAAACTGGAATGTGACACAGGGCAGTTTGCAAATGGTTACCTTTCCAATGCCAGCAGCAAGCCACCCATATTCACGCGTCAGCTTAGTAAAAATTGGAATGATATAAACCATATATATAATAAACAGTGTAGTCGTGTAGATCCGTTAAGCTGGGATATTACGGGCAATATATTTGATTGTTTAGAACATAAATAATCATCGATACAATTAGTATCCTATCCTGTAATTGACTGTTTTCAAATCTACACGTCTTTGTTCTAATATAACTCTATATAACTGATTACTCACAGAATAAAAAATAAAAGCCCATATAAGTGATTGTTTCCAAAGTAAAACAGGTTTCAAGAAAAAGCATTTCATTATCGGAAACTAATGATACTCTAAATATGTCTAAGATTGAGCTCGGGTCATCTAAACTCAAATCATTCAGCCCATCTCGATTGACCAAGGAACCTGAGGTTGGTGCCTCCCTCCAACAACTACACCTTCGTAGGTACAACACTAAAGACTGTTGGCTTCCACCCAAGTACTATACATAACGTAACGACAGTACATCTGGACAAAGAAGTCGTAACCGCTTTATCAATATCCATAACAGTCACGTGAAATGTGTAACCATTACGAGAAGAGGGCTAAGATCACAGTCAGGATCATGGAAGGCCTCTGAAGACTATAAATATGAGATATATCCCTCACAACAAATGACAAACAACTCTAGCCTAAATAAATAACTTTTGTAATCTTCTCCATAGTCAGTAATATACTCAAGAGTAAGAGATTCACTTCAGAATGGATTAGTCAAGCTGCTGAATTGATGAAGTACTATAAATTCTCTATGTGCAATCCCCTTTCCCTTGGTCAAACCCTTAAGAGCTTAATAGTGCTGATTGAGTTGTTCAGTGACCCTTTAGTCCTTAGCTGTCATTAGCTCTGCTCATTTGTCTGACATACATCAGAAATAAGAAAGAAACCACCATAGAGAGGAAACAGCTAGAAAATCCCCCTGTTAATTCAGAAAATTGATTCCTCTTTGCTTTGTGGGCAATTCAGTAGATATCAGATTAAGACATTCAACTACTCCTTTGTCCTCTGCAATGTGCAGCTGAATCAGAAATTAAAGATGACGACAAATGACAACTAAATTTCAGGCAGCGTGATGCTTCTATTACTTCAGTATAATTAATGAAGAGATTTTGTAAGGTTTCAATTTCTTAAATATACCTTAACCAAAAAAAAAAACCTACTACACAAGGCTGGAACTTTTTGATTGAATATTGGGTACCTGACTAGGATCAATTGTTGTTTTGTGACATACACATGCATGGCTCTTAGGCCAATGTCTAGTGTTCACAAGTCAACCATATTCTCACCTCATGTGGCATGTGGGTGTGTTTTTTTTTGGGGAGAGGTGGTCGTCATCTCATGTGGGTTTATTTCAGTCAAACTTTATGAAGGGTGGAGGATTTTGAGATTCTGTTCGGTATCAATAGTGAAAACACCTTGCACTGCAGGAAACTAGAAACTCCATGAACAGTCAAGAGAAGATGAAGACCCTAATGCAACAGAAGAAAGGCAGGCGATTGTTACTGTTTCCATTGCCATTACAAGGCCACATTACTCCTATGCTTCAGCTTGCAAACATCCTTCACTCCAAAGGCTTCAGTATCACCATAATTCACACTCACTTCAACTCTCCCAACCAATTCAACTATCCTCAGTTCACCTTCGAGCCTATCTCCGACGGCTTGTCAGAAAACGATGCTTCGACCATAGATGTCTTGGCTTTGATCTCTCTCCTCAATAGCAATTGTGTTGAGCCGTTTCGTGATTGCTTGGCTCGGTTGTTATCGGAGGTTGCAGAAGAGCCTTTTGCGTGCTTAATCACAGATGCCGTCTGGTACTTCACACAGGCAGTGGTTGATAGCCTTAAACTCCCAAGGATTGTCATACACACTACCAGCGTCTGCTCATTTCTTGCTTTTGCTGCCCTTCCACTTCTAAGGGAAAAGGGGTATCTGCCTAAGCAAGGTGTGATTTATGCCCCCCCCCCCCCCCC